GAAGTGAAATGTTTGTAGGCCCACATTGTTTAGACGCGATGTTTTGGTTTTAACCATAGACTGTAGGTTTTAACCACTAGTCTTTGCCTGAAAGAAGAGTCAGGTTCAAAAATGAAAACACTGCCATCTCCTGGTTATCCTTGAAGGAAAACGACCAACTCTCTGGGGGGTCTTTTTCCTATTATGCCAAAAGCGCGCCTGCTGCGCCAGTCTTCTTCTTCTTCTTCTTCTTCTTCTTCTTCTTCTTCTTCTTCTTCTTCTTCTTCTTCTTCTTCTTCTTCTTCTTCTTCTTCTTCTTCTTCTTCTTCTTCTTCTTCTTCTTCTTCTTCTTCTTCTTCTTCTTCTTCTTCTTCTTCTTCTTCTTCTTCTTCTTCTTCTTCTTCTTCTTCTTCTTCTTCTTCTTCTTCTTCTTCTTCTTCTTCTTCTTCTTCTGTTTTTATTGGCGGTTGGCAAACAGCTTTTGGGTGCATTACCGCCACTCACTGATCTGGAGTGTGGACTCAGGATTTAAATCACTATACACAACACCAAATAAATAAATAAAATAAATAAATTAAAACAATTTTATATATATATATATATAAATTAATAAATCAACCTTTAAACAAAAAAATCAATAAACGTATATTTCTCAAATTCTATTTATTTAGGGTGACCATATGTGCCATTTTCCCAGGACGCGTCCTGGCTAGGATTTCTATATTGCCAAAAATATCTAGGTTTTGGCTTTGTTTGCGAGTGCAGACCGATCGGTGTATGACATCAAAATACCTCGAGAGCATTTTGAAAGCATAAGGAATCGTCTGTATGCTATTTTGATGTCATACACCGATCGGTCTGCACTCGCAAACAAAGCCAAAACCTAGATATTTTAGGCAATATAGAAATCCTGGCCAGGACATAGCACATATGGTCACCCTAATTTATTAGTCTTGTTGATCCTAAACACTCTAGAAGTAGACTCCAACCCTTATCATCTGCAGATTTTTAAAGAATATTACTAATATTTTGCTCTCCATTCTCTCTTAGTGCATTCTTTAAAATGTCTCTCTCTGAATCACACTTCTGGCAATGCAATAAAACATGGTCTACTGTTTCTTCCTCTCCACAATATTCACACTTTCCATTATTATGCTTTCCAATCATGCAGAGAGAACTGTTTAGACCAGTCTGACCATTCCTTATTCTTGTTATAACCCTCCCCTCTTTCCTATTTCGTCCTCCAGTTCCTATCTTTCCAACTAATGGAATATCGATATCTCCCTTTGGTTTCTTTGTGCCATTGATTTTGCCACATCTTTTTGATCTGTCCCTTTATCACCACCGTAGCTTCTGACTTGCTGATCTTTATATTTATGTGCTTATTTCCACTCTTCAAAGCACATTTTGCTGCTTTATCTGCCTTTTCATTCCCATCAATTCCAACATGTGCAGGGACCCACACAAACCTAACAGACAAATGTATTTGATGAATTCTGAATAATGATTGTAGTATTTCATACAATAAGTCCTCTCTACTCCTGGAGTTGCAAAATGTTAAGCTCATTAATGCTGCACATGAATCTGATGCAATTACCACTCTCTCTGGCCTGACCTCCTCTACCCATTGCAAAGCAACAATCATGGCCATCATTTCACATGCATATACAGATATATCTATATATCATCGGTAATTCTCTTTCAAGTGCGCCAGTCTCGCGAGATAATTCGTTTTTACGTAATAGGTGAACGCTTGAACGTGTTGCGTGTCACAAGAGGTCGGGTTTGATTCGTTCTCCTGACTCGCGCTTCAGCTCTTCAATCGTTTGATCACGCCTGAGACGCAGGCCGACCGTCCCCAGAAAGCGGAGCGTTTTCCTCAGTAAGATTTCGCTATTAAAATACGAGGTATGTTGTTGTAGTGCATCTCAACTGTGTTAGGAAACATTTGAGTGTAAATGTGGTGATTTGTTTGTAGAATAAAATGGTTTTCCTTTGTAAAACGACGACGTCGACTGAGATCGGAGTAACTTAAACCATACACGGGGCGAAGCAGCAGAGCCAGAGGCCTGCATGTATCAGTTATCGGGTTGATTTCATGACCGATCTGCCCATCAGATCACTCCTATTGCGTGTTTCGTGTGTTTAAACGTTGCTTTCGTTTTGTATGAGGTACACTGGCCAAAAACCTAACGTTAGCACCGCATACAGACTATAACGCTTCCATTAAAACGCTCGATCTGGCGATATATGCGGTTTCGTAATGGAAGCGTTAATATCGATTGGTCAACTGTTGTTCAGTCATGACAAACATGTTTTTTTTTTAAGTTGTATACACGATATTGCATGATTTATGCCCTTCATTTGCAGCACAGGTGCTTTAATTTTGTCAAGAGGGGAACTGAAGCAGATGTTTGGGTTAAAATACCGTCTCGTGTTTTTGTGTCGTTCTTTTTAAGAGTAACGTTACCTCCGTTTATTGTCCGGTGGTTGACATTTAATACAGGCTTGGGCCTGCTATCAGAATTGGCTGCTGTGTGAGGCGGTCTATTGCTGTTCAGTGGACATGTTTTGTTTAGTCACTGGATGGCGGCCTCACGTCTGAGTTTCGTTTTCCAGTCAATGTTCCCATTAAAACCCTTCCTGCGGGATAATGACAAAGTGTAATCCAGAACCCAGTGGTTTTAGGGTTTCAGATGGATGTTTGATGCAATTTTGCATACGTTCTATTAAATTCTGATATATCTGTTAAATTCAGATATGCTACATTTAGATTTTGTATATGCATGTTTTGAATTAATCAGTTAAAGGAATTCTACAGTCAAAATCAAAATTGACCTCATTTGCTTAACCCTCTACATTGCGAGTAAATCACTGGCATATGCAACTAAACCTTCCCTCTGGGCGATGGCTAATAAATTCTCAGATTTTACTCGCCAGTGTGTAAGTTGGAGGCTAAGTATAAGTTTAGCACAGATATATTTTCACTCGCCGAACACTGACTGAGCACTTTCACTCTCCATCAGGTGATCTGTGCTGTTTTTCAGTTCATCTGAATGGATGTGCAGCGCACCTGTATTTGACGTACCGTAAACTCTAGTGTGACGGCGCACGACTCGCCATTGCTTTGTTTCCCACACATGCAGAGAGAGAGAGAGAATTAACGCGCTACATGCAAACTATATTCTTTGTTGTATTTTCCTGTCAAAATAACAGCATTCCTTTGGAATTCTTCAGCTTTTAAGAACTACCGCTTTCTACAGTAGTGGGCGGAACTAATGCACAAACGGCAATCTCATTGGCTGGCACTCAGCTATTATCGTCCCTGTTTTGATTTCAGCAAATCAGTTCGAGCGAACCCACACAACTTGATTAATATTCATGAATCCAGCAGCTTATTAATCCTTAGTGCATTTTATATTGTTCTTATTAATAGAATTGGTATCTTTTATTGTCTTTTCAGTATTTTTGTTAGGTTTTTCCCCAATTTTTTTTTTTTTACAGAAACACCAAAAAAGCACCACCGCCAGTCTGAAGTTCAGTTAAAATTACTAATATGCATTCATACATGGTTATCAAGTTTTAATTCTAATTACTAAAGTTCTATCATTAAATAATATTGATTATCATATTATAATGCTTGACTGACTGATGTTAAGAGTGTACTTTCAGATATTTAAAAAACTGCGAGATTTATCAGTCTTGCGAGTAAACTAAAAAATTTACTAGCCAATGGCGATTCAATTGCCAAGGTGTCCATTGAGGGTTGTACTTGATGCATAATATTGGTCTTGATGTGCAGGTTTTTTTAGTGCACGTTATTCATGAGGGAAAAAAGATTTTATAATATTTCAACAATTTAGTAGATCCATCTCTCAAATGCATACATGGGTGAATCATTCGCAATAAGATCAATAACATGCATTTAGAAAAAAATAAGAAATTGCATTTAATGCCAATTAACTAAGGTTATGGCAGTGATGGCAAATAAAGACAGATCTGAAAAGGAATTGTTCCCAAGTTGGATATATCTTCTTTTTTTTTTTTCTTTTTTTTTATATAAATAAAATTTGGAAATGTGTGACATTTATAGAAGTAGAATGGATGGTGATTGCTGTTTCCTTTTGACTTTTCTGACACTTTTACTGCTGGAAAACCTGATGTAGAGAGAGATGAATTGTAGTGCTTCAACACTCATGTCTTTGTTTTATAAGTAGATTGTAGTGACCATTGAAAAAAGCAGCCCTGGTTGCAGGTTTGGTAAGTCTGCATAACAAAAACAGCCCAATTGGTACTCAAAACTAGCCTGATCTTGTTCCAGGGGAAATTGGCTGTCAAAATCGTGTTCGGAGTCAAAACCACCTTCCAGGGGTTTCCACCTTCTTAGAAATAGCATTCCAGGGAAGCAGGGTGGACTGAAGATCTCCCCCCCCCCCCCCCGCAACAGTATAGAAGTGGCCCAGTCCCGCAGGAGAACTGCCGACTTGGCAACACTGCCTGGTTGCTTAGTTAGAAATTGTTGATTTTATTTCCTTCAGAAATGTGCAGCAGCTCTGTAGCTCTTTTTTTTTTTTTTTTATTGAGTCCAGACTTATTATTATCAATTATATCAAACCAACAATAATGTAAAACGTTGAAGTACTGCTCACAGGTTATTAATAAATTACAGTTGCCTAATATCTATAAATTAACAGTCTGGCCTATCATGTTGTCCTGTGTTGAGGCATGTTTGTCCCTCCCTGTTTACATTCAGGTGACAAAAACCTTACTAAAACACATGCATGAAAGTTATGTGAAGATGCACCTAAACTGTGATATTATTATTTCCCTTGGTCTGTCTTGTCCATTTTGCTTGCTGTTTTTTTTCTTCTTCAGTGAAGACATGGAAACCTGTTTAAATCCCTAGAAGCTGGAGATTTGAGTGTTTCAGAAGGGGAAAATGGTCACATCCGTTTTGCCATTTCTGTGTGAAGACGACAAGCCAATAACCCTTTCTGTTTTTGTCCCCTTAATTTTTCCAGCTTTTCATTGTTCTTGGAAAGTTGTGTGCCCCCTGTTGCGTTGAGGCATTTTGGGAGTCTGCCGCTTTTAGGCCCAGTCTCCCTCCAGCCGGCACAGATAAAGACTCAGTTGGCACTGCACCAGCTGAATGCAATTGCTGGCACAAGCGTCACTCCGCCTGCAATTGCTTCACCTGCTTTGACCTTGCTCAACTTGCTTAAGGTCACCATGTCACATCCATTATATAATCCCCGTGGAAGGCCGTTCCACAGTGGTCAGAGACCCGTTGTGCCTGGCCAATATGGTCTTGGGTCACAGCCTCGAATGGAGCTCAGGGCAGCCCGTCTTGGCCCAGGTTCCATATCCAGTTCTCGCGGAGGATTGATGGTCAACCAGCCCTTCTCACTGGGACAACGCCAGTCGCAGATTTCCCCAGGTCTCGAAGCCGCCATAGATCGGAACCTTCGGGGAGCCCGTGAGGAAGTTCGCCTTCTCACTCAAATGCTCCAGCAACCCAAAAAAGCAGATCCCCGTATGAGAGAGGATGCAAGGGATGAAGTGATTTCCTCCGGGAGCGGATTTTCAGGGACTTTACGATCTGATGAGGGGGACTGGTCCACATACCAATCCCCAGCCAAGCTCTTTGCATCTTCAGGTTTGGATCGTCCTTCAAGTTCTTCACCGCTATTCCAGTCAACAGGATTTGGTGGAGGATCAAGTGGTTTGGACAGCCAGCGACCACCAGGACAGCGGCCTTCACGCTACACCTCTGAAAGTGCCAGCAGCATCCTAGCAAGTTTTGGACTTTCCAATGAGGACCTAGAACTTCTAAGCCACTATCCAGATGATAAGCTGACTCCTGACAACCTACCGTTTATTTTACGAGACATCCGAATGCGTAAAGAGAAGAGGGACGTTGATGCGAGATCTGAATACAGCAAAGTTATTGACTATGGACATTCTAGTAAATTTGGCTATCCTGAAGGGAGCCCGGATGGCTATGCAAGTGAACATCTGCTTAAAGAGTCACCAAAGTATGTGAGGAAGGTCTCTGGACCTCCCTTCAGTGGTATGGACATCACAAAGCATCCTCAGCCGTGTCAACCAGCTCCAGGCCCTGTACAAGTTCCAAAGCTTCAGAAACCTCTACTAGTAGATCCGAGACCCACTAAGAAGATTCCAGCGAGACCATCTGCTTCCCAGCCTATTCTGCCACCTTCCAGTCGACCTCCTTCGCAGATTCCACCTCAACTTGGTGTTCTTCCTTTGATGACCATTAATACTATCACCGGAGGTCCGAATGCTAACTGGATCCCATTCCTTTCACCTCCAATCAGCCTGCCCGCCCCGAAGAGGCTTCCAACTCCGACCATGATGAACGATTACTCCGCAGCTACTCCAAGAATCTTTCCTCATACATGCTCTCTATGTAACATTGAATGTATCCAGATTAAGGTGAGTATCTTCTTACCCAGTAGTGCCTCATTTGAAAGCCTTTTTTTCTTTTAATGTTAAGGGTTTTACCTGCTGTTTTATTCATTTAAATGTGTTGGTGAACTTTGAGCTAAAACTGTACTAAATTTGACTATGAAATAAAATGTCAGAAACCTGTAATGAAATTAATGTTTGTTAACTTAATTTGCTCATTAATTGTGCAATTGCCTCATTGTGGGTTAAAAAATATTTGCCAATAATTTGATGTAAATAGAGTAGATAATAACTGACTGGAAAATTGTATCTTGACTACTTCAAGCCAATTCCAGTTTCAGAAGGAGATTTATCAGTCAGGTTTCTGGAAACCTGAGGGAAGCCCGATGGAAAAACCATTTTGTTGAAACCTAGTTTAAGACTTTGGACTGGCTGAAAAAAAAATGTATCTGATGTGAAGACAGACCTGATGACTTTACACAATGCTGAAGACAAAAGGCAGATGGCGATCTCCATCTTCGTAATACCTGAAGCAACGCTTTGGATTTTTTTCATGTCGGAAAAAGTTTTGTCGTCAAAAATCATGGACTTTTTATTCTAATGAGACGATAGTGGATTTAACAAGCGTTATGTGTCAAATTTGGAATTCTGGTATTCCTCTTTTCTTTGTTGAAAGTTTGTAGCTCTCTATTCAACATTTTGTGGATCTGTTTTTTTTTTTTTTTTTTTTCAGTTGCACAGTTTAAAACACTAAAGTATTTATTAAAGCAGAAACCTTGATAATTAAAGCTTTTTGTTTTTCTACAGGACTGGCTTGAACATCAGAACACAAATCTTCACATTGAGAGTTGTAGACGTCTTAGGCAACTGTGAGTGTTTTTTTTTATGAGTGGCTGCTATTGCTCAAGAATTCCACTGGAAAATTTCTCATTTATATTGTTTTGTTATTATAGATATCCTGACTGGAATGTTGAGGCTGATTCTGTTAAAAGGTAAATCCCTACCATATCCAATCGTGGACATTTAGTTCTAGAAATATAATTAATCTAATGTTAAGAAGGTTTTTAAATTCACTTGAAAATGTGTCAATCATCCACAGACCTGAGCCCAAATCAGACCACAGCAGCTCAAAGCGGCACACCCGATCGCACTCGTACTCCAGATCCCCCAGCCCGAAGCGGCACCATGACTCCTCAAGCCGTCGTAAACGATCGCGTTCACGCTCCCCCTCCCGAAGCCCTAGAAGGTACCGGCGTTCCAGAAGTCACAGCCGGTCCCCCCATAGGAAATCTCGAGTCAGTCCTTACAGACGGAGGTCCCGTAGTCCACCATCTCAACGGTCAAGGTCTCCAGTTTACAGTAGGCGCTCTCCTGTACGCCGCTCAAGCCCCCGTCGGAGCAGCCCCTCCCGTCAGCAGAGATCTAGCAGTAGTGAACGACTGGCCATGAAACTCATGTCTTCAAGTAAGATCTTTCATTGCAATGCTTTTGCAATGAAGTATACAGTTTGCTTTCAAATCACTTGGTGTACTAATGCATGAAGTTCTTTTCTTGCCCACAGCTGAGCTTTCCTCTATCACAGACAGTAATACTTTGAAGGCTGTGGTGAAATCCTTGGCACCAGCCCTGCTTGCTGAGCTAGCAAAGAAGAAAAGTAGTTCCACTACTTCCTCGTCAAAGGGATGTAGCAGCAGTAGTTGGAAACGGTCTTCCCCTCCTAAGAGAGCGGAGTACTCCAAGTCAAGCAGAACCTCCACCTCAAAGTCCTCCAGCACTCCAAAGGTACATCCTCATATTGCAGTAAAGGCTGTTTGTTCCTCCATTACTTTGGCTTTGAGGTCATTGTATTGTTGTATTTCTATCAGGGTCATTGGAAAACATTTTTGAAAAAAGTATAGATGAATGTAGGTCATTGTGTATGAAATCTAATTGCTATCTCTCTTTGTTTCTGCATGATGTGAAGCCAAGAGCCAAGGATGCCCCTGGCACATCTTGTTTGTTGAGACTCATGCGAATTCCTTTTGGGACTACAAGCAAAGAACTGACTGATGCCATTGAACCTTTTGGCAAGATTTATACTGCCATCCTCCTCAAGGCGATTAACGAGGTAAAAATAATGTTTACCATTTGTGTTTTTTTTGCTTTGATTTTTTAATGTACAGCAAGCACAGTGCAGGTAGTTAATTAGTTTCTTATCTACCTGTGTGTAAAATGTGTGGCCTTCACTGCTTTGTAATTCACATTTCACATTCACATGTCAGATTTACTCATTTATATTTATATATATATATATATGTGACCCTGGACCACAAAACCTTAAGTCGCTGGGGTATATTTGTAGCAATAGCCAAAAATACATTGTATGGGTCAAAATTATCGATTTTTCTTTGATGCCAAAAATCATTAGGATATTAAGTAAAGATCATGTTCCATGAAGATATTTTGTAAATTTCTTAGCGTAAATATATAAAAACGTAATTTTTGATTAGTAATATGCATTTCTAAGAACTTCATTTGGACCACCTTAAAGGCGATTTTTCTCAATATTTTTATTTTTTTGCTCCCTCAGATTACAGATTTTCAAATAGTCGTATCTCAGCCAAATATTGTCCTATCCTAACAAACCATACATCAATTAAAAGCTTATTTATTCAGCTTTCAGATGTATAAATCTCAATTTGGAGAAATTGACCCTTATGACTGGTTTTGTGGTCCAGGTTCACACACATATGCGTGTGTATGTATGTGTGTATATATATGTATATATGTGTATATATATATGTATGCATGCATGCGCTCACATAAATGACCAGGTCATGTCAACAAAGTTCATTTTAATACTTTTTTGTGACCATTTTTATTTTGCTTAGAAGAGAACATAAGTTGTATTTGCTGGGTTTGTACATTTGGGTTATTTTTGAAAGTCTCTTATGATCACCAAGGCTGCATTTAGTTGTTTAAGGATACAGTAAATCAGTAATATTGTGAAATATTATTGCAGTTTAAAATAACTTTTCTATTTTAATATATTTTAAAAAGTGTAATTTATTCCTGTGATGGCAAAGCTAGAAAACTTTAGTGTAACAGTGGAAGTAAAAAATGTATTAACTCCTTTCTAAGAAAAGTAAAACTTACTGGCCCCAAAACATTTTAATGCTAGTGTAAAGGCAAATATGTACATTTGAAATGTAGTTAGTGTAGCTGTTGCAAACATTTGTGGTTCTTACTCTCTTCAGGCCTCAGTGTGTATGGAGAGAGAGGAGGATGCCAAAGCTTTGCTCAACTGTAAGAACCTGACAATTTGTGGACAGGTTATTGATGTCTGCATGGAGAAGGTATGTTTGACTCTGTCAAGTCACCTTACAGATGAACCATACCAAGCCCTGACATTAAATCCGATTTGTGTATTTTTGTAGGATGCAAGAAATGATGGGAGAAAATCTGTTAAGACTGAAAAACCTGTTAAGAAGTAAGTTCTCGCGCATGCAGTGGTTTTGCAGTGCATCTAGAAATAACTTGATTTTTATATTTAATATTTTTGAATTATACATAAAAGCATTGTTTACACACGTTACAAAAGGTTCTGTAAATGCATTTGTTTCATTACAGAAAAGAGGTGACTACTACAAAACCAACCCAATCAGCAAAAGTAAAGTGTGCCAACCCAGTGAAGGCACCTCAGTCAGCTAAAGCTAAAGAGGCAACAGGTTCCAAGACTTCTCAATTAATCAAGGGAAAATTCAGTGTCCCCAAAAAGACTGTACAGACAGCTAAAGCTAAACTCCCTGCTAAGGGTTCAGGTAAGTTAATACATCTTCATCTGTAATTGTTCCTGTGATCATGCAGGATAATCTCTAACTTTGCTTGTATAATTTGACAGAGACGGCAGTTGTTGCCAAGAAGTTAGTAAAGAAGGTATGTTAATTTGTGTTCTCCCTCCAAACTGTGTTTATTTTTTTTATTCCACATACAAAAACCATTCAGTTTGTTAAAACAGCTACATCTGTTCTCTTTCTTTGACTACAGGAAGTACCCTGGAGAAAAAATATAGTTGAGATTACGAATCTTCCAGAGGGGGGGGTTACTGAGGATGACCTCACCAACCTTGCTAAACCATATGGCTTCATTGCAACTCCTGTCATAGCATTCACTCAACAAAAGGTAATAATATTAGGAAATTACATAAAAAAATCCTTGCTTTAAAAATGGGTTGGTGGCTTTCTATTAAATGTTTTTTATTACAATGTTATATTAATATGTATATCATTTTTTTAATATTTTATTGTATTTACTTTAACAGTAGGGATGTAACGATTAACCGCGAACCGGATGAAAATAGATTTAAATGTGACGATTTAAATCGGTTGAGATGCTAAACAAATCGCGATTCAATTAGGGTATATGAATGTATGTGTGAGGGGAACCTGCTGTCTTTCGATGGTATTTTTTCTTTTCCTCTTGCCTCTGTATAATGCATTAAAGTTCATAAGTGCAGCGCTGCTATGTTTACAGCGGAAACCAAGAAAACGCTTTAAGCGCCACCTGCTGGCAGAGAGTGAATCTGCGTCTCATTCAGCTCGTCTGCTGTTTGTGTTTCATGCAGATATTTTTTATGCATAGTTTCACAAAACTGAAGTCAAACCATTCTGTTTTTGCTTCAGATTTCGAAATTGCACAAAGTAATTTAGATTTTGAGATTAATGCGAGATTAAACCGCTCATGTTTCATGTCTGCAGCATCTTTGTTTGGATCATGATTAAAATGCAGTGGTTGCCTCTAATATTAAATGGAAAGAGCACAGACAAAGCCTTAGTTTGTTTATATGAAGAGATTTATTTTATTTGTGTAATTTATTTGATTTGGGGCTTGTTTTAAAATTTCTATTTAGTTTTGTTATTTACATTATATTTAAATTGTTATTTAGCAAACACTTTTATCCAAAGCGACTAACAAATGAGGACAATAGAAGCAATCAAAACCAACAAAAGAGCAATATATAATTATAATATATAATATAATATTTTAGTATATTATTGTAGTTATATTTCAATTTCACAAAGAAACGTACAGTATTTTGTCCAAGCAATAATAAAAGGACATATTTAATTTATTTGTCTTAAATCTAATTTTGTAAAAAAAAAAATCGTGAAATCAAAATTGTAAATCGAATCGTGAGTTGACTTAATCGTTACATCCCTAGTTAACAGTGTTTTAATGCTTTTTTTTTTTTTAGGCTTATCTGCAGATGCCCAACACAGAGGCAGTTGAAGCAATGGTGAAGGCCTACTCGGAGACACCAGAAGCGACTAACAAATGAGGACAATAGAAGCAATCAAAACCAACAAAAGAGCAATATATAATTATAATATATAATATAATATTTTAGTATATTATTGTAGTTATATTTCAATTTCACAAAGAAACGTAAAGTATTTTGTCCAAGCAATAATAAAAGGACATATTTAATTTATTTGTCTTAAATCTAATTTTGTAAAAAAAAAAATCGTGAAATCAAAATTGTAAATCGAATCGTGAGTTGACTTAATCGTTACATCCCTATTTAACAGTGTTTTAATGCTTTTTTTTTTTTTTAGGCTTATCTGCAGATGCCCAACACAGAGGCAGTTGAAGCAATGGTGAAGGCCTACTCGGAGACACCAGCTAAAGTGCAAGACAAAGAGATTACCATCAAGATGATGATGCAACCTATCGACCTGAACTACACTGTGAGTGTGCTCTTCATCGCTCTCTCTGTCAACGTGACGCATAGGGGGGGAAAAAAAATTATAAATGTCCAAGAACATTTGATGTATGTTTTGGTTCTTAATTTAAAGTTATTAAACATTCTGTGTTCTCACTTAAAAATACAACAATAATGAAAACACACTGTTGTCTATCAGAGAGAGAGAGTGCATTATGTCTTGAGTACATTTATACTCGCTTCATTAATACTGGTTAGTATTGACTGACTGTTTTATCTTTATCTACCCCAAAGGAGTCAGTATTCAGAGTGCTTGTGGGCATGGAGAAATCGCCTGTAAGTAAATGACAAAAAGATGACACTGAATTAAAATAAAATTTAAATAACCTGTATCATGTCTCAGACTCTCTTTTTTCCCTCCTGACTGCAGGAAATCGTTACTTTGCCAGAACGCCTTCTCATTGTTAGTAATGTGCCAAAAACACTTGGGGCAATCAAGGAAGTAGAGACCATAATTCAACGCTATGGTGGCTTCAAGAAAGTTTTGCCTCTGAATGGCAAGGTAAGCTGCTCAAATTCAACTTCTATATTAATTAAACAGTCTTATTTTTACTTTTACTCGCATAATATCTTTGCAGAGAAACAGGAAAAACAGTATTGTAGTGATTATAAACAAACATTGGGTCTTCATCTTCCATCTTATTAAATCTACTTTCTTAAATCTGACTGTTGCATTGTTTTATTTTCTTTCAAGATTATTTTTGAAATGGAGAGTGTTGCTAACGCCAGGACTATCTTCAGTCGCTTCCTCAAGTTTCGTTGTGTGGTCCAGAACAACACCCTTAACTTCCAACTAGCCAAACCACTCAAGGTACTTTAGCGAGTATTTGCATGAGTGACATCACCTCAATTCTTTTACAAAGGCAATTAATTAAAAATTCAACTAACCATGTTGTTATTTATTTAACAGCTAAAAAAGAAGCCAGTAGCAAAAGGGTAAGAGAGGAGATATTAAATATTTTGCTTTTATTTTATACAAAGGGTTCTGGAAATGTAAATTTTCTCTCTCATGTTTAACTCTCCTCTTAGAGCAAACCCTCCTGGTACAACAGCAGCGACAATAAAAAAACGTAGTACCGTCAAAGCCCAGAAGCCAGTGGCTACAGCAACAGCTTCTGCTGCATCTACTGCAGATCCACCTGTCACAAAAGACAAAGCTCCAAAAACAGCTGCTATTATTGTGGCTAAAGCAGAGAAAAGTATTGTTTCAAGCAAAAGTTTGAAAGAAAGTGTTGGTGAAGAAAAGGTGAATGCTGATACAGCTGCAACTAAACTTTCTGCAGTTCCCAAAGACCTTACTGTTGATGCGTCTGCTAATGCGGAAACGGCTACTCCTGAGAATAAAGCAAAGAAGGATACCCAAGTTGTTAATGAAACTGTCATGAAGATCCTTGAGACTGAAACTCTGAAAAAAGAGCATGAAGCTGGATCCTCAGTTCCCACGACAGAATCTGATAGTGAGAACAAGGAGCTTGAAGTTGAATCCTCTGTTCAAGCTTCGGAATCTGCCGTTTCAGCTGAGTCTGGGAAAGCAGAGCTTAAATTTGAATCATCTGTCTCTGCTTCAGAAGCTGCTGTTTCAGTTGAATCTCCAAACACAGAGCATGAATTGGGATCCTCTGTTCCCGCTACAGAATCTGGAAAAACAGAGCTTGAAGTTGCATCTGCTGTTTCCGCTGAATCTGAAGTTTCAGTTGAGTCTGGGAAAACCAAGCCTGATGTTGCATCCTCAGTTCCCTCAGGAGAATCTGCTGTTTCAGTGGAGTCTGCAAATGCGGAGCATGAATTGGCTTCCTTAGAAACTTCCATTTTAACAGACACAACTGATCAGACAGGGATTTCATTCAAGATAAATGATCAGAATGTGCTGCAGGCTGAAAATGTTCCTAAAGAATTGGTTCCTACATCTGTGGAAGAAAGCAAAATTGACAATGAAAAGTTAGAAGATGACGATAATGTTGAGTCCAAGTCACAAATGGAGATTGTTGCTTCAACTGTTAGTAGTGAGGAAACTGCAGTAGAGGCCATGGAGACCCAGAGTCCAGAAGAACCTACCAAAGGCACTGATGTCAGAGAGAAAGTTTTGGAAACGCATGAGCTCAAGATAGAAAATGAGGGCCAGGCCAATGACTTGAGACCAACTGAACCTTTAGAGATGGACATCAATCCTCAGTCTAATAATCAAACCGAACCTGCTGAAGAGCATGTCCCTGCAGCTGTTGCATCTGACTCCATTCCACCCTTTGATCCTGCTTCTGACGTACCCTCCACTTCTGATCAAACTGTCAGTAATTCTTCTGTCACAGTTACATGTGCCTCAAACAGTCCTCAAACGGTGCTTGATCCCTTCCAGATTGACGACAATTCTCTGGACTTTCCTCCGGTTACGCAGGAGATTTTGAAGGCCCTTGAATTAGCTGTCCATCAGTGTCGCTTACAGTCTTCATTAAAACGTGCTGAAGAAGAAGCCAAACAGAAGGCAGAGATGGAGAAAAAAGCTGCAGAGAAGAAAACCACAAAAGGTCCATCAAGCTCAAAGAAGCCTGCTCAAGTGACCAAGTCCACTCAAGCTGAGAGCAAAAAGATTCAGGCCGAGAAAGAGAAAAAGTCTCAGAACTCCGGGTCCAGGAGCAAGCCTGTGGACCCCTCATCCCCAGAGAAAGAGCCAACATCTAGGCGCAGGGGTAATTCTGAAGAAGATGGCCCTACCACCAGGCGTGGGGGATCTTCTGGGTCCTTCTCCTCCCGGAGGAGCAGGCGGAATTCCAGCCCTCCATCAAAGCGCTCAAGGGGGCATGATGTTGATCGCAGGGTGAGGTGTACTAACTATATATATGGTTGTTTTAAGATGTTTGAAATTATACCTTGCTGTTTCTGTGTTTCTCAGTCACTTTCTTAATCACTCTGAAATTTTAATCTTTTCTATTTATTTGCCTTTTTAGAGTCATAGTAAAAACTCACAGCCTTCAAGGGGCCACTCAAAAACAAGGACAGCTGAAAAGGTAAGTTTCAACATTTAACTGGCTTGCAGTCTAATGACTGAAGATAGGGATTGCTGATTAAGAATTTGTGTTTTCCAGGAAAAAGAGGAGGAACCGTTTCCATTTAACATTGATGAGTTTGTGACCGTTGATGAAGTCGGGGATGATGCAGAGGACACTGCGGTCTCAAATACTGAGTCTTCAGCCAAGGATGAGAAGATCCAGGATAAACCCGATTCCCACTCCATAGTCTCTCCTATTGCAGAGTCTGGTCCAGCTGATAAACCAAACCAAATAACTGACACGATAATTGCTTCTGAGATAGGAAAACCAGAAGTTATTGAATGTGCAGATAAAATGGAAGCCAAGACTAAAGAAACCACACCAGCTGCAGAAGTTGTTGCATCTCCAAAACCAGAAGAGCAAGGGCTTCAGGAAGAGAGTGCTGATAAACCGCTGGGAACTGAAAGGATGGAAACTGCCGTTGTTAAGAACGAGACAACAGAGCCTTGTACTATAGAAGAAACCGCTTCAGCAGAGATGGACAACAATGCTGAGACCCTTTTAACCATGAAAGAACACCATGACATTGGGGCCTTGGATGAATTTGAACCAAGTCAGTCAGTTTCTTCCTCTCCTTCACAGAAGGAAGGCTATCCACCAACTTCTGTAGAAACTTTAGAGAAATCCGAAGATGTCCATCCCGAGGAGCCTGAAACCTCTGCCCCAGTGATGGACAATAAAGATGAGGCAACTGTAATCTCTGAAATTCCATCCCATGATGCAATGGTCACTCTTGATGAGGTCAGTGAGGGTGAGGAAGATTTTCTTGATGAAACAAATGAGGAACAGCGTTCGAAGGCTGATGAAGTGCCTGAGACACTTGTAACGGCTGATGAGGTTGGAGATGATGTAACGGGGGGTGAAGAATACCAGTTGGACAAAGAACTTCAAGGTCTAGTCACATTGGATGAGATTGTTGATGAAGAAGAGGAGTTTGATTCATTCAATCCTGAGGTCGGTTTTTTTGGTTGCTACCCCCAAAATTGTGTTCAAAACACTCATTAAGGCTACCATGGTTTGGTTTTGTTCTTGTAGTTTGACATGACCTCTTCTTTGTCTTTCCAGACTCTTGTAACCCTGGATGAGGCCAAGGGTGACGATGAGGAGATTGAGGAAGTGGAGCATAGTGAAGACAAGCCAAGCACCACAACACCAATCATACCAGAGGAGCCGGTGAAATCACCAAGCCAAGAAGAGGATGTCTGTGACTTTGAAGAACTCCGCAAGATGAACTTTGTAACTGTGGACGAAGTAGGGGAGGAGGAAGAGGAACAACCACCCAGTGAAGATGTCAAAGAGGAGAAACAAGTTAAAAAGAGAGCTACAAGGGCCAAAAAGAGAGCACGCCAGAACCCAGGTGACTAAAAGAGAAAGCAGTTTCCTTCTCTTTAAACACTCAGATGTGATGTATTTCTAAGTGTAAGCACTATTGTCTCCTTTTGCTCTCTGTAGTGAGGAGATCCACAAGAAGTAAAAGAGGGGCGACAAAGAGTGCTGAAGAAGCAGAGGAGCCCGAGACAAATGCAGAGTGTGAACCAGAGGCAGCTGCTTCCATAAGTGAGAGTCCTCCTGCAGCTGTAGAATCCATGGTTCTTGATGTTAAGCCAAAACCGCAAAAGGCTGAAACCTTGAAAGTTCCAGATTCATCGGCTGCAGTAGTCACTGCAGAGGTCTCTTCAGGGTCAGAAGAGGACAAGACGAAAGCTAAAGATGATGGCAAATCTGCAAAGTCAGAAAGTGATACTGTTGACACACCAGTCTCTGACAGAAAATCCACAATCAAAGGTGTTTAATCTCATTGATGGTTATTTAGCATTTGTTGGTACCAGTGTTCTTACCTGTTGCTTTTTTCCGTTTTCATTTGCAGAAGAGTCCAAGCAAAGGCGGGAGACGGAGCCGACACAGGAACCAGAAGCTAAGAAGGCCCACTCTCATTCCCCTTTGATTGAAGACTTCACCTTGCCCCCGTTTAGCCCAGACAATCCCATTGGTAAGAGTTCCACTAGAAATTATGCAAACATCAGTTAAGCCAACATATTGACTTTATATAAAAAACATTTTTAAAAAAAATCTTTGTTTGATTAATACGGTTAACAATGACTAAATCAAATGCATTATCACAACATTATCTCCAAGCAAAGTTATCTTTTTAATGTTTTTTTTTTCTGTTTCATAGGGGTTGACTTTGTGGTGCCCAAGACGGGTTTCTTCTGCAGACTCTGCTCTTTATTCTATGGCAATGAGGAAACCGCTAAGAAAAGTCACTGTAGTAGCCTAAAGCATTACCAGAACATGGAGGTACAAGTTCTGATTTAATTCTGAATGTTAATTTCTTACCGGTTAAAAAAAAAAAAACTGGTACCCTTTTAAATTAAAATACTGTTCTTATTCAAGACTGAACACATCTGTTTATATAGTTAACGTTTATCCTTTTTCTCTCTTCTCTAGAAATACTGCAAGAAACTCAAGTCTCAGAAGCAGGGTGGTTGCTCAACACAGACGATGCCCAGTCATGTTTCTGCTTCTGAATAGCCCCTGTGAAGAGTTTTTTTTCCCTTTTGTATTAATGTTAACAGATGGGTCCAGTTGTTTAGTTGTAAAGGTTTATTATTATTTTTATTTTTATTGTTTAGAATGAAATGCATTGGCTCATGCTCAATAAAGATTAAATATAATCAGACATGTCTTTTTATGTGCATCTTTAAGTTTTGAAATGTCTATAACAAATAGAATAACATCTAATGACGGCGACAAAGTTTTTGAGATCTGTTTCGCTAGTGATAAACAAGGTTGTAATTACAAAGCAGAAGGAAACAAAGATCTGTAGGAAGTTACAGATGAGCTGAAATCTCATGCTATGCATGCACCATATTTAGAGATGCACCGTTTTACAAATTAAGACTACATCATTAGAGGTGTTAATCAATTTAGGAGAGGATTATTTTAAAATGTACATAAGTCATTTCGTACAGTACACATCTAAATTGTCAATGGTCCTAATTGTGCGGGCACCAGGTTTGAACATCAATTTGAATTTTCAGAAGCATAAATTAGTTTTTTTTTTCTGAAGCTAGTCCTTCAAAAGAGTGCACACATTATAGGCTGTAATTTTAGTCAGAGAGTTTTCGTATTTGGGTCAACATTTGCTTTCATGCGATTTCTTCTCTGCCCACAATCGTGGTAGGAATAAAAGATTTATGTTCCTTGAATGTTTACAAACCTTTAATGTGAGTCATTTGTTTAACTGATATAGCTTAGAGACATTTTATGTGGCTCACAACAACCTTTTAAAGGTTACTTACACAGTAGAGGTGATTGCGAGTCTTTATTTGTCTGTACTTCATAGTCCTATACAGTATGTCCAGACCGAGGGGGACGGCTGCTTGCTTTTCTGTTTAATTTAAGTGTTTTTGTGAACGTATATGCTTTAATAACAAATAATTGTACCAATTTACAATAAGGTTCCATTAGTTAATGTTAGTTAATGTATTAAAGTGTTAGTTAGTTATTGTAAAGTATTACCCAAATAATGTATTTTGAGCATTCACTTGAAACTAAGCATCTAACCACATCTGATCTGTTGATATTTGCATAAATATTTTGGGCTTTAAGGAAAACTCCATTTAACGTTTGTTGAATAACTTGTTTACCTGTCTAAAATTTGAGCCACTGCTTTGTTAACAGGAAAATTCCAGAGAATAATAAAGGAATGTCTTCCTCTTTGAAATCCAATGGCACAGTTCTCAAATAGACAGCCAAGACCTTTGGTTTACATGTAACAGAAAATAAAACCTGTCTGTCATAATGTTGAATTTGGCATCATACCTGATCTGTGCTGACTTTTACTTTGCAGAAACTTTAAAGACTTTAAGGGAAATTCTATTTCAAATTTGGCCTGTCACATGGCTACATTTGAAATAAGAAATGTCTTCCTGTTTTTTGTTTGTTTATTTTGGAAACAACAGTTGCATAAATGTTCTAACTTTTTTTCCTACTTTTGTTTTTAGTACTGATTAAATATACCATGGCAACAATATTTCTCAGCGAACTGATTTTATTGTATATTAGAGCAATTTATGCCTGGAAAAGCAGAAGAAAATTTAAGAGGCCATGTAACCCATTCTACAATATGAAAACCTATTCAACTTCACTCTCATTTATGCCTCTGCATAAGCAAACAAATAATTAAATGGTTTCAAAATGCAGTAAGAGAATAAACAATCAATATAAGAACAATGGAAAGAAAGCTTTCACCTTATATATTAGATTTTTATATGTAATCACACACAAAAGGAATAGACATTTTAATATAGCCTACATGTCATTTATGCATTTGGCAGACACTTTTATTCAAAGCAACTTACATTACATTCAAGGTACACATTTTTTACATTCTATTTCATATGTTTAAAACATAATTTTGTTTGGCTTCTTCAATGGTTTTCAATTCCTATTCCAGGAAGGAATGGAAGTCTGCCGTGGCGCAATCCCATCAGAACAGCCAATGAAGTAACTGCTTGTTTGCAAGCATACTTGAGTGACTTTCAGGCAAACAAAGCAGAATTCTACCCTGCAGCGATTACATATGACATTCTTACACCCTGTTGTGTCATGCTCCACAAGGTTGCCACAAGTGGGGCAAGCTCGCATTGAGGGACAGCTCACACTATTGACTTCAGGTAGTGTTATATAACGACATTTTGCCAACTTTTCAATGTCAGGATTGGTGCAGTCAGGGTTGTCACAGCGGTCAGATCGAGGGCCTGGGCCTTTCCACTCCTTCATACACTGCCAGCAGAATTGAAACGTGCGACCCTTCTCAGCCGTGCAGATCGTGCACATGACACAGAGGTTGGTAATGTCAGCTCTCTCAACAAATGTCTGACATCCAGGACACTGAATATAAAATTAAAGACATTCATGGAATTACAAATAAACTTCTAAAAAGCAACTTTTATGAATCTATTCAAGAATGCAATTATTTCTGGATATATGTTGGGATTTATGCCAGTAACTCACGGTTTTGTGTTCGCAGTACTCAGCTGCAGCAAGAACAGCCATCGTCTCTTCAAAATGGCTCTGCTCCTCTTGAGTCAGTACAGCCAACCTCCGCACTTCTGCATAGGGCCATTCTGCATTGCATCTTTGTAGTGTGCCTTCTTTAAGCGCAGGACACAGGAACTTGTGCTGACCCTGAGAATAAAATGCAGACATACTTTTAGATTACTGTATGTGCCTGTTAACAAGTACTGATTCTTTAGTCTGAATAAACGTATTACCTGGTCGAGCAGACTACGACACCATGCAGTCAGTGACTGTGGAGTCACTGCATGGCCACATGACATCTCAGCACGACGAGTCTCAGGGTCATCATCCCCAGCTGAAAGTATATTAGTCAATTGGTGTCTTAAGATTCAAGAAACTTTTTTTTTCATACTTAACTACATTATTCATTTAACTTAATGCAACATTCTATGGACGCAGAGTTGCCAAAGTAACTGCTTAAATTATCACAAGGACATTCAGCACTAATGACTCACAGCATACAATCATTAGCATTCAAAAAATACAAAGTATATGCAACACCTGGATAATCAGTTTGCAAAAATGTTTGGTCATTGCTTTGTGAAATGCACTTGACTTCACTGTTTCAGGTGTGATGAATGAACTGGAAATATTGCTCAGTTTTTAACTTATCGGCTCTTTTTTTTTCATTTTTAATTATTTGTATCACAAAATTTGACTGGATGCCACTTTCCGAATTAAACAATATAATGAGGTCATGTGACAAAGTACTGTCTGAAACATTTAACCTGGAATACTGCTTACTGCTGATAAATAAATAAATAAATAAATAAATACATACATATATGTTCATGGGCTCACCCACATGGGTCCTAGCTGGGTCACCCAAGTGGGCCCCAGATAAGATGCCCATTTTGAGCCCATGCCCACTCTGTACCCCTGTTTTGCTGGGTACATTCATGCATACATAGTAGCCTATGTAGCATTACTCAATATTCAGTAATTAGCCTAAACATTGCCAAAGAAGTTTTTTAGATATTTGTTAGGCTATTAGTTCGCTCTGAAATTTAGCAAGCCTAGATAAAGTGCACTCAGTAATTTTTGTTTCGATGGCTGATATAGCCGTCATCTTGAATTTATACGCTGCGTAATGTAGTTAGTACTTAGTAAGCGATTAACTAGACCAGGGATGGGCAACTGGCCCGCTGGATCATATTAGACTCAGATGATCAATTTGAAAACATTTTAAAAGTAAGTCAAGTAAAGATTGCTTTCAGTTTATAATGTTAATATTATTTCCAACCAGGAGAGGTCGAGTTTCCAGCGGCTCCCCATGTTAATTTCAGTGCAGTAGGACGCCCTCGAGTGGGGGTACAATCTTCAACTGGCTGGCAGGAGCCAGTGGCGGGCTGGTGGCTGGCAGTCTCAGCCGCTGTAGATCTGCGAGTATACCTGTCAGTGGCGGCTCCTGCCAGCCAGTTGAAGATTGAACCCCTACAGACGCCCTCTGATGTAAACATTCACTAACGTTAGCAAATAATAAATGTAAAAACTGACCATGAAACAGTATTTTCCAGTCAAAATGGTAAATAGATTATCTTTTAACAATTTCAAGGGGATATTAGCCATATGTTTGGGAATCTGTATTTTATTTAAATCGCCATCACCTCACTGCGCACAAACAACGGGGATGACAGAGTTGCACTTGCCTCAAATTTCAAAGGTAAAATGCATTGTCAACAAAAGCTTTTTTCCAAATGCATGACAGAAATGTTTGCATTAAACTATGTTCTTAGGGTTTCAGCGGGTCCTTAAAAAGTCTTCAGTTAAATCGTTAAATGTAAGGCCATGAAAACTCTTAAAGGTCCCCTGAAATGCTTAGAAACACGCAGCGTTACTCTATGTGTTGACGTCATTTTAACTGAAACAAGAAGACAGGGCGGGACATATCAAGCAGCCCCGCCCCTTTGTAAAATTAGCCAATAGCGTTAGTTTATATCACAGCTTGGGCTAGAGCCGTTCAGAGCCATTGAGCTCTGTAAAGCTGCATTTGGCAGGGTATGCCAGCCACAGTCTCATCCATATTGCTATAAAATATAGCATTCTGTGTAGAATTCAAATAGCTCCGATACATTTTGTGGTCTGCGCCGACTCGCGCATGTGATCCGCTCCGTGCTATCATGTCTCTGGACCTGAGCAGAGTGTGTGTGCACAGCGCGAAACCAGACTTCTTCTTTTCCTCAATGGAAAGCATATTTACACGGTTTGAAAGCCGCGGCTTCAGCGTCTATTTTAGTGTAGGGGGCGGGCGCTTCGGTTTCTAGAGAGCATTTGATTGGACAGAAAGTTTGATGAGAAGCTGAAGTACGATGTGACGTCAAAAAAAATCGTTGAGCCGTTTTGCCAGAAGTGACCAACTACAAGCTTTGAATGCTTATATCTTCTAAATGCGAATTATGTCACTGTTTTGGAGCACACTGCCTTATAGATAACCTTAAGACTAACATATTGATACGAACACCCAAAAATCTTTAATTTTGATTTCATGGGGACTTTAAATGATACAGAAAGTCTTAATTATAAGAGGTCTTAAATTTGGGGATGGAAAGACAAGAACTGCTATATAGATTAATTTGATGATTAAACTTCAAAAGGCTGTGATTTCACTGAATAGATACAAAGTCCTTTTAAGACAAGTCACTCGGCGGCCATCTTTGAAACTTTGAATGGGGAAACATCAAATTCTCCAAAACTGTTCACTAAGCTTACGATTAAATTTCATATTTGAAATCACCAAAGAAATATGACAACAACTGTGTCATAAATGTTGTTACTTTTGCTCAAATAGCATTATAAAAAGCTTATTTTTCAGGCTAGATCAGCCAGTGCGCATGCGCAGTCCTGAGCGTACGTCTCAGAGAGCTGACTGTTTCTATAGCAACCGGGACGCTTCTAACGGTAGCTGCAGTGATGCTCTGACTTTACCGATTAGCGATTGGCTCTTTCATTCAGAAGGCGGGGCTTCCTGCGATTGAGCAGCCATATTGAGCGTTGCAGTTTTCCCCATTCAAACTACACGAGTGACACGTCTTGGGTATTCTATAGATATGAGCGCTGCACGTTTCAAAGTCAAGCGCTGTGCTTTTTTGTGTCCTGCCGTTACCGGGGGAACCGCTATATTCTGCCCATAATATACTGTATGTAGAATATTCCTCAAATGAAGATACCATAAGCCGCTTTTCCACTATCGGGCCGAACGGTTCTCTTTGCTAAACCGTTCCATTCTGTGCCGATCCGGTGTTCTGACAAATAATGCTACCTATCAGATTATGCTACCAACACTGTATTTATCCTACTGTAGGTTTAGGGTTGGGGTAGGTGTACATGTTAATTAAAGCCTCACACCTTATTAATATCATGCTGGAAGCAAAATCTGCTACCTTACCATCTGTTTTAAAGGGAGATAGCAAAATCTGACAGGGTAGCACAAATCGTCAGAACAACGGGCCAGTCAGCACGGCTACGGTTTCATTTTCCACTGTGGTGCTGAACGGAGCTCTTTGGAATGCAATCATAGACTGTATAAAAACATGGACGTAGTGTCGTCACCCGTAGACTTCCGAAGAGCGTTTTGAAGCCTAAAGTAGGCGGAGCCCGCAGTCGCCATCTTGGCAGCGCGTCACTCCCGGATAATCGAAAATGGGCAAAGAGGCGGGAGCTGGCTGCTGAAACCACGCCCACCTAGCTCGACGGTGGTGACAGCAGCGGCAATCCACCTGTCACTCAAGTGGCCACGCCCTTAATTATGCAGAACTTTAAGGCTTAATATAATTTAAACGGATGAGTTATAAAAAAATTCTCCCCCCTCACAGTTGTCATGAAGGGCAAAATTAGCTATACCAAAATCATTTTTTGAACCAGGCTGTAAACGTTTTTTTCTGCTGTAAATTTGGGCATTTTAACATGGGGAGTCTATGGGATTGACTCCCTTTTGCAGCCAGCCTCTAGCGGCCAGTCGATGAATTACAGTTTAAGTCACTTCCGTGTTGGCTTCACGAGAGAGAGCGGGAGGTTGCCAGGTCGAATGCAATACAAATGCTCAGTCGTTGCCTTGGAAACGCAAGTGTTATATAAACAACGATATGGAAGATGATCAGATATTTCTGTTTTTGGGACTCCTTTTTTATCTGATATTTACTTCGTTCAATAACAGAAAAAAGGACACAACTCTTGACGTGAAAAACAAAATAAACAGAAGGCGACGACGGGTATAATATCAATAAGCGCAAATGTTTCCTCCACAGACCAAACTGTCTCAGACATTTTTTTGTTTTTATATTGAATGTAGCCTAGCTGTTTACGCTGCTGTTTGATCAAATAGTGTGCGTCTGCTTAGCCAGCTGTGGACAAACTGGTAGCCAGGCAAGACATCACGCACACACACTCTACCGGCACGGCTCAGCACGGTTGTCTAACCTTGCCGAGAATTCCGGCCCGAGAACGGTTTGTAATCGTGCCGCGCCGTACCAGGCTCACGTGGAAATACAACTGGAACCGTACCTGACAGTTCTTAGAACCGTTCGGCCGATAGCGGAAAAGCGGCTATAGATTCTGCCGTTCCGAAAGTGACACCTGCTGGCAGAGAACGAATTTGCTTTTTCAATAAGCCCTTCTGCTATTTTTGCTACATATTTTTAAATGTGAACCAGTGGATCGACAAAAAGCTAATGCATTATAAAAATCTAAACAATTAAAAATAATAATTTAATAATAATAATAATTAAGACACTAAGATATATTTATGTTATTTAATATAATCATTGACTGATAATAATTGTTTCAATTAATATAATAATTGAAACTTTTGCCTTGTCCCTTTTCTTAAAAATTGTTTAAAGCCTGAAATGTCAAGTGCAGGTCTTAAAAGGTCTTTAAAGCTCTTAAATTTGAATTAGATTTTTTTTTTTTAATCCTGCAGATACCATTTTGAATAACTTTTTGACTAAGCCCTTTTTAACTGTCCTCTTATGTTGTTTTGAGAATGTTCTGTAGGCCACTAATAAAAAATAGGGTCTCTGTACATTTGTTTGTTGCAAATTTACAGACAATGCAACTGAGATGTTTACATTGGCTTGTTGGTAATATTGCTGTCAACTGACAACAAAGTTTCCCTTCTGAATTAGCTTAACTGCACTTAAAATAAAATCTTTAAAAACTAATTACATTAATTATACTTTAATTTCCTTCAATAAAAAGGAAAGTGAGCAAGACGGTGTAAAAGGTGTGTGGATGTGGATTAGTATCAAAGGTATAAAGGAGAAAAAATGCTGGCCCGAGGACTATCAAAGTTGCCCATCC